ATTTCTAGTTCAGATCTTATGCTTGAGAACCATAAAAATATTCAGAGCTCTTATTTTTACTTTTCCTGTAAAATTTAAAGGCATCTACCAATGAAGTCAGAGTTTCTCATTTCAAAACACAGTACATTTTTGTGCTACTTAGTTATGTTCAGCCTTATGACACTTATTAGAATTTTAATCTCTCTTCATAATGTACTGCATTGTGAATTTAAGTAATAAGAGGTAATAATAGCTAGATTTCCTTTGGACTCTGTGCTCTAATACATCATCTCGTTCATTCTAGTTAATTCATTTGAATAGGTTCTTCACATTGAAATGTGAGTACCAGGAAAGCAAAGAGGCTATAGAATACAGTCATAAGAAAAGCAGTGATTACACTGAAAAGAGAATTTTAGCTAAACTGTCTTCCTATTTATCCTAACAAGTAGCCATTTGGGTTAATAAGAAATCACTGATTATCACAGTATTCAGCAGAAGAAAACTCATTTGAATAAAGCTGATGTAAACACAGACTAGGATTAAATTAAATTTAATTCACATTAGTTTATAGATTATATTTTTAACTGACTGCTTTCTTACTAGAATCAAATAAAGTCTTAGCTTCGGCCAAAATGTATTCTACATTAGAATGCGAAACATATATCACAATATAAATACACAGTTAAATAAATAAAAACAACACTAATTATTTAATAAATTTGTATTAACTCACATATAAACCGCTCTAATAATGCCCATAATTGCAGAGAGTACTATAACTAGTTTCACTAAACACGAAAGCTGAAACATCTACCTTAAGTTTTGTTCAAATTCTACTACCAACTCAACAAATATTTATTATATCTAATATGACTCTCACTCTGTACTTGTCCTCGACATACAGTGATGTATAAGACTATTAAATCAGAGCTTAAAACTTGGCTAAATATTTTTTTTTTTTAGTTTTAGTAAAATGTTTTATTTTCTATTATAAATATGATACTAACAGGTAACAATGAACTCTTTGGCATTTCCATACAAAATACAACTTTTTCTAAAATAAAAGGGCTAAAAAAACAATTTCCAGAGGAAGAGAGAGTGAGTGAGTGAGTGAGTGAAACACGTACTTCCTTCAAAATACTTTGTCCCAGAGTACATTTGGAATGTTTATAAGTATTCATTTTAAGATTTCAAAAAATGAGAAAAAAGCAACAGACTGTTGCATATGGCCTGAACAGAAAATTTGTGTGGTAAAGCTCACACTGCAAACTGGAATGTCTTATGGAGGGACACCAGATTTTCCAGAGAACTAAGTTATTTTTAGCAAAATTGATCTAAATACAAAGGATATTAGGAAAGCAAGGTTCCAGCTCTTCAGTAATCACAACTGAGGCTGGAAAGAGGGTGGGAAGGCAGGGGAGGGTGGGAAGGCAGGGGAGGCTTTGACTGTGGGACAGGTGGAACACAAGCCTTGCCCATACAAGTCATCTAGGATGAAGAAAGGTCCTTTCTAGACCCTTTCCATTCAGCCCAGGGATTCCTGGACAGGGTTGTCCTTCTCATGGAAAGTGGCTTATGTACTGAAAATGAAACCTTCACTAAAGCTAACAAGAGGAGCCTTTCAAACTCCAAAGACTCTTCTATATACTCAGTGCTATTTCTAACTCTGGTCATGCAATTTTCAATGTTTAATTCATTTTTTTTATATTGAGACATACTTTACCTATCTACCCACATATCTATACACAAATTTATAAGAGTAAAGTGCACACATTTTAAATATGCAGTTCAACAGATTGTTACCTATGTATGCACCTGTGAAATATGGAACCATTCCTCCACCAGAAGGTTCCCTCATGCCTCTTTCCAGTCATATAAGTATGCCATTTTGACTATTAAATGTGTCTTCAAAATGCCCTGCCAGAAAACTTTTTCTCTTCACATGGAAAAGTTTCACACCAAAGCTGACCATACTTGCATGATGTTAGTTTAAAATATAGTCAGGCAATAAGTTGATGTTACTTTAATAAATGTGGTAGGTTTTTTTTTTTTTTTTTTTTTTTTTTTTTTTTTTTTTTTTTTTTTTTTTTTTTTTTNCAGGCTGGAGTGCTGTGGTACAGTCATAGCTCACTGTAGCCTCAAACTCCTAGGCTGAAGCAATCCTCCAGTCTTCCAAGTAGCTGGAGCTACAGGTGCATGTCACCATGCTTGGCTAAATTTTTTAGTTTTTGTAGTAACAGGGTTAGTTTTTCACATGTGGAAAAAAATGATAAATGTTCAGAGAAGAAAATGTATTAGATCTGGACAGAAACATTAAAAAACAAAGAAACAAAAAATCCTAGTTTCTCCCCTGCCCTAACAATCTCTATCATGAAAATTTAGTTTTGTTTTTATATATATTTCATTCACAACTGTCTAACATAAATTATGTCCCTATTAAGTAAAGTACAAAATTATTAGTATAAAGATAAGATAGTAAACACATATACTATTTATAATATGCTAAGCACTATTTAAGCACTTCATATATATTTTATTTTATTTTCATTTTTAGTAGAAACAGGGTCTTGCTATGTTGCCCAAGCTTGTATCAAACTTTTGGTCTCAAGTTATCCTCCCACTTTGGCGTTGCAAAGTCCTGGGAGCCACCACGTCTGGCCTATATACATTATTTTAATCCTCACAACAATAAGAAAGTATGACCACTTTATTATTTAATTTTTGGAATGAGTGTTTACATAATTTGCTCAATGCTAAAACACGCCTAAGAGACACAGTCAGTATCTGAACTCAGATAATGTAAGGTCAGAGTCCTTTCTCTTACTCACTATACCACACTGCCTTCCTGAGATCCAGAAATGCAACAGACCTAGATTATTAGACAAATAATGGACTATTTCTTACCACCTCAAAATTTCTGGCAATTATTCCATGCCACATGGGTAAGACTGTTTCCAGGATCTCAATCCGCCTATAGTTTAACTATCATATGATATTTGTCATGTTTCTTATTTGTATTGACATTGAGATAAAAGGATACAAACATCTCAGGCAAGAGCAAATAATGAGATAACTGAATAAAAAAGTTATGCTAGGATAATATATATCTATCATTTCTCAGTTGCAGAAACATAGCATGATGTATCTAAAGAACTTCAGAGGTCGATTTGGGACCCTTTTACCATTTTGGTTCTACTTTAAATCTGGAAAAATACAGGTGATATATACCTAAATGCCTTCTGCTATTATCTTTTAAAATTTTCAACTCTAGTTCCTGATCTGTAAGCTAAATTTTTGAAAAATAAATCCTTTATATTGTATGTATCTGTACATATTTTCTCTTTTAAAATTGCTTTTTTTAATAAACACTATCAAAAGGAATCTTAATATGTGAATTGAAAAAATTATATATTTGTTCTCTTCCATGGAGCTTCTTTATTATTCACAAGAGTCAAGGGGAAAGTCTTTCTTCATTGTCTTACAAATCAGGAGTAAAGCACAAATGCTGATTGAGCCGATTGATGATTAGATGGAGAAAAATGATGAAAGGAAAGATGCCAGTACGGAATATGGCCATTCATTTCTATTCCAAATGAATCAACTACTCACAAATGTGGGTCTCCTACCAATTCTGACAACAAACTGAGGGACTACATTAACTTCTCTTCCATGGTCCACAAGGGGCATGGTTTCAAGAACTTCCCAGCCCCATGCCTCCATCCACTTCCCCACCCAGGAAACTAGAGTTCTTTGTCTAACTTTTCCACTCTGGGGCTAGGTAAAATTCCAGGTGAGCTTCCTTTGTTCAGAAAGCCTGCCAAAAGCCCTGGAACGAGGGGCTCTGTTGTGGGCCCAAGCAACCAATCTGGGATCAGAGTCAAGGATCAATCATTCCAGAGGAAGTTTGAAAGAACTCCTCTCATTGGATAAAAACATGAATGGGGTGGGAATAACTTCAAAGCTACAACTCCACTGCACCTTACCTGTGCGGATTTTCCCTCTCTGGGGTCCCCTCCCACAACAGTGTTGGAGCTCTCTCTACTTCTCTCTCTTTCTCTCTCTCTCTCTCTCTACCAAATAAGTCGCTCTCTGCAAAACTCTTTGGATCTGGTATTTACTTGACTGGTAAGCTCAGGGCACTGCCAGGGCCTCTTTCACATTCCTGGGGCCAGAGAGCCCAAGAACCTCAGGGCACATCCCATCTGGGAGAGAGCTGAGTCCCATCCACGACCTGGTTACAAAACCACCCAAAGAACCAACCCTCTGAGGAGGCCCATGTCTGCATGCAGAAAGCTTTTTCATGTTTCTCTTGCTAGAATACATCAAGTAGTCATTTCTCCTTTGTTGGCACAATCAAGTAACTCTTGAATGAAGAATTAAAAACACAGAGAATGCAGGAGACTTTCTCCCACTTGGAACTTTACATACTCACTCAAAGACCCAAGTGTTTTCTCTTGCCAAAGAAACTAGGCAAGTAAGCCATAATACTCCGGGTCAGCAGGAATTGCCCTGGCTATTAGCTAGCCACCACAGATCTGATTTCTCAGAATAAGTTTAAAAAAAGTAAACGTAACTGTACTACTGATGAAGATATGGACCAATCTCTACTCCTATAATCTTATACATATATGAATTAGCTTGGTTCTTTATGTTTGATTGTCTACAATGCAAAGTAATAGAGGTTTTTAAACAAGCGACTTGCTATTTTCTTCAGCTGTTATTAGCTTTTCCTAAGATATTGGTTGATCAGCAGCACAAGACCTTTCAGATACTAAATGGCAGAAATAAGCCTTTCTAAGGTTTTCTAGATCTTTCCTATTCTCATAATAGGATTCCTTCAGTCAAGTACTACAGGATGGGAAGTATCACCCCACTACTTGTTAAAGACACCCAAGTGAGTCACAGAACCAAGTGTAATAGAAATGCCACATTTAATTAGCCCTGAAGCAGGGAACAAAGTCCTTCCATTTTAGAAAGGGGGAAATTGTAGTTAAAACAAGCAAAAAAAGCAAACCTCTTACCTTTTGTAGCAATGCGTACACACTGGGTTTTAGTTTCCTGATAGAGTAAAAATGAAAGAAAAGAGTCAATAGATAGATAATATTTCCTGTTTCATAAACTATAATTATTATGAAGATCCATCTGGGGTCATAAAAAGAGATTATAAACAACAGAACTTTAATATTAAGAAAACTTTTAAAAATATCAATTTCTAGGGATATTTTTTAAAAATCTAAAATAACTTTGAAAAGTATTTTAGTTTTTTATAGACATGTAAATATGTTTTCACCTTGCAATGAAACAGTCTAGTTTGTGACCAAGTCATACAGCATCTACTTTCATGTATAGTACTTCGTAAACTATCAGAAAGAAAAATGTATTTGCAAAGCTAGTACAAATCAGGTCTAAATATAAATTTAATTTTCATCTGAAAGCTGTAGACTCAGATCAAAGCTGAACATTACATACTTTCATTTGGATCCTAGCATGACTAAAGAGCTAAATGATAGCAGTTAGAAATATCATCCATACATTGCATCACAGTTGCAGTGTAATTTATCTGTTCTTTATTTTCTTTTAATGTAGCTATTAGGAGTTAAATATTTCTCAGCATAGATAATTTTCCTCCTCTTGCTAGACAGAGGGGGTAGACAAAGTAGAAGCAAGAGGAAAGGACAAGAAAAAATATCTTTATTATTTTTAATACTGTAGGGTGGCAGTAGGAGACACATATCCCCACCAGCTACATGTGGGCCCACTCTTCACTTCTCCAGGACTTAGTTGATTCACTGTATATCCTTGAATACACAAGAGATGAGAAACGTATCAAAGCCTGTGAACAAACCAGAGGCTGTTTGCAAGTTGCATTTCTAACTCCATCTTGAGTAGTTCTATATGTTGATAATTTATAAAGGAGTTTATAATTTCCACTTAAGCATTTTTTATTTTTAAATTAAAATAAATCAGTGAGGGGGGAATTAGTAATTAAAAATAAAATTTTGCACTTCTATTACTTGTGACCTAAGATCTTCATAGTAACCTACAAGAGATTATTTCACATTCCCATAAAGGCTCAAAAGGATATTCATTTCCTAAAAGCAATTGCTGTTAACTTTCTATCAGCATTACCAAACTCTGCTGGCAGAAGCCACATCAACTTTAAAACTATTTGCCAAGGTAACTGTGAAATATATTGTTGCCATTCTGTATTTTGATAAAACCACAGTGTAGATATATTAACAATCGGATGAGAAAATTCATATCAAAGCTTTTAAAGAATGACAGAAAATCCTCTATAAGTAACAGATATTCATTAACACTCCTCTGGTATAATAGAACAAATATCCAAAGTTAATTTGGAACCTCTCTAAAGATGAAAGCCCTCACACAAAACTATGCTTCCTACACAATGCTACATTGTAGTCAGAATGGATTAATAACTTCCATAGTGTTCTGTTTTTAGAGCAGCCTGGTTGCAGCAGTGGTATGGAATGCTGTATGTGTGGGAAGTGGACACTGGACCACTCTCTAAAGAGCCTAGTTCTTTAAAAGTAAACCAGAAGAAAAGAGCATCTTCAACCCTGAGCAGCCTCTGACTTTGGCGCACATAGAAGACGCTGTGCCCTTTCTCTCTGCTACCTACAAGCCAACCATATAGGCAAGTGAACAATAAAGCTTTCATTCAAAAACAGCTAATCAATACCCAAAGCTCTCACAGCCCCTGCAGAAATGCAAACGGATTGTTATATCTTCCAATTAAACTATTCCAAGATATATGACTGATGCAATTGTATATCATGTGTCACTCCCAGGTGCTCACCTTAGGGACTCAATTACATAAACCCAGCAATTTCCTACACAGCTTCAAGTCCATTAAAATATCATCATTCTATTGAATTTTAAATTGTGAAAATGTCTATCCTCAACATTTGTTTTCCCTCTATCTCTGTCTGCCAATAAATAAATAAATAACAATAAGTTTTAGGAAAGAAAATCTTTCAAATAGAACAGCATGAGGCATGAAAGGCCAGGTTGTTTTCTCACATATGGAACTGCTGGTCGTTTCTAATGCCCTGTTGCGTGTTCCTCTTCAATATTCATTTGGGATCAGCGGCAGTGTTCAAAAACAACTGTGTCCAAAATGGGAAAAGGAGGGGCAACTAGGGAAACAGAAAGCAGCCTTCTGAAATGGCTCAGCAGCCAGTCATCACCAGGCTGTCTTTTGTTTAGGTTCTGTCAGATATACCACAGGTGCCCTATTACTTTGTAATCAGAGGATTGTTACTTGTTATTTACCATTTGACTTGAAAATCCTGAAAAGTTTATAAGGGTTTATTAGCCTGCTGTGGAACATGCATTCTGTTTATCCTGCAGCAAATTTAATCTCTTGAAGTGTGCCACCACTGAACAAGGAAGACAGAACAATGCCTGAGCATTACTGGGGGTGGAGTCCCGGCAGCCGCACACCCACCTTTTCAAATCCTTTTACTCTCAGTTGCTGTTGTGGGTTTTCCAGAGGAAGGCTCAAGTAGAAACAGTTACTAGGAAACAGGAACCCTGTGAAATGGACCTGGCGTGTGGCCTCAGCCCTACAGTAGGCCTAAAACTGTGCACACTGTTGAGAACAGAACACCCGCTACACGTCAATTTTCTTTTTCTTTCTTTCTTTCTTTCTGTCTTTTTGTTTTTTCCTTAACAGATGCTACTGAGTATTTATAAAAATTTGACTCCAGCTTGTTGTCAAAGCAGGGAAAAAGCAAATATTGGAGGAAGCTCACCTTCTCCACACTGCTCATCGCCTGGAAATAGATGTTGTATCCTTTTCGTGGAGCCAAAGGAGGGTTCCAAAAGCCTTGGTAGGTCCTATTGTCACCCACAGTGAATGGGGCAGGCTCAGGCAGGTTTCCCGGGGGCAGCTCTGCAGCAAAGTAATAGGGTGCACCTCCACTCATGGCATTTTGGTATGTGACAGGAACCTGGTAGCATTCCATGGCTCCAGCTTCTCTCTTGGTTCGGTGTGGGTGCAGCTCTTCCACAACAATCTGATAAGCACTTTGGGGAAAAGAAAAAAAAAAACCACACATATACACACACATTTAGAGATTTGAGATACTTTTTTTTTTTTTTCCAAAGGAACAAGGAGTTTAAGGGGTTGAATATTGACACGCCACATTTAAAAATATTTTAAAGTCAGTCTTAACCAGCTACACTCTTGGTTTCAGCTATTTCGCAATAAAATAGAATTTTCACATAGATGCTGCTCTCCCTAACATCACTATAGTTACAAGGAAACTGAAAAAAAGTAAGAACAATCACTTTAGGGCTTTCAACTTTCTTTAATGTTGAGGAATAAGCCACACCTTAATAAGGATTCTGACATTAACCAGAGACATATCATAGATTCAGTTCTTTGTCTGATATTTTTAAATGTTTAAAGTTAACATTTTCCCTGGAAATGATATTATGGAAAGTCCAGCTCCAAGATCTAACAGAATGACTGCCTCAGGGCGGTGCTAGAAGCACCCATTTGTGGTTGTCACAGCCTTAGAGACAGAATGTACTGACAGGCTTCTCCACCTCTTGACCTTGCCACGGCATCTATGTTGGCTCAGAGCTATGTAGATCTAAAATACAAGTGACATGCGGCAATACGGGCACAGATGGACAGAAATCTGTCCTCACAACCGAAATAGACCGCCTCCTTCTTCTGGAGTTGTTAATAATAAAATGTTACAAATTGTAGAAACAGATGGCATTTGGCCTATTAAAGCTCTAACCTAAACCTTCTGATATCTTTAAGTCTTAAAACTTTTCTATAATTGCAATTACTTTACAGAGAAGAGAAAAAAAAAGAAAGAAAAACAAGAGAAAGGCAAATATAAAATAAAGATCTCCCTGATCTCTAATAATATTTTTTTAACAACTCCTGAAACTGGTATATTAATAATATTCTTCCTTAGTAGAAAATTCTTTAGGTCAAAATTTTTTCAGATAACATATTACCCGAAAAGCTGATACTATTATTATAATGTATTTTATATATTATGAATATATTTTAAAATGTTTTAAAATTCCTAAAAATTCTGGAAAAATATATGTAATATCTTATGTAAGTTGAACATAAATTGTGTGTAGGGCTGCATGTTGATATTCAATGAATCTCCAGGAGGAATAGAATATATTCTTTAAAAGACTTCCATGAAAAAGAAAAGAAGTGGATAAGTAGAGGGGAATGGGGAGGAGAGGGTGAGGGAGAGAGGGAGAAAGAGAGATTGAGATTGATAGAGAGATACACTGAACATGCGCCTATGAAAATTAAAACAGTTTGGACTCTGGTATGAAATTCCAATTTGATATAAACTTTTATACCTACGAATTAAAAGATCTTCACAGATTAAACAATAGGACATCAAAAGAAAGAAATATAATTTAATTGATAAATTAAAGATTTTCTTTTCTTCCTAATTATTCAAGCTCCCATTTTCCATTAAAATATTGCTAATAAATTGGTAGGTTGGTATTCATCTCCTTTCCTCTAAAGAGAGAACAGAAGTTGTATTAATGTCAGAAATTGAAATTTGAGCAAGCAAGGCAGAAGTCTATGTTATTTCAAATTATGTGTGCTGCATCATACCCTATACCTTTGCCAAGTTGGGTTGCTAAGCTTCTAAGAATGCTACTGACAAGATGCATGTTCTCTGAGGCATCCATGGAGCAGGCATTTGTCAATTTTAAGATACAGAAAATACATAAGCATAGCCCTGGAGAAAGAAGAGAATGATCATAGCTGACATATGCTATGTTTTATTTTAAATTTATAGTTCATATTTGTATATTATACATTTGCATGTCCTGTGGATACATTCACATATGCATATAAACTCTCTCGTACATGCTCTCCAAACAAATGTAACCTTATATCCTTGCTCTAAAGATTAATAATGATAATTACCTATCCTTGTTAATCATGAATCTAATCCTTAAAAATAGATTTCTCATTAGTTATCCCATACCTCTAGAAAAAAACAGAAAATCTAGTGAACATTCAATCTTAACTAATTCTATTACATTGACAGAGATTCTACATTACGAATTAAGGATACTTCATGCAAGACAGCTTGTCTATCCAGATCTATTAGGAGTAAAGTAAATTGCCAGTGTGGGAGAAGAGTGAAGGAAGAAAAGGTGCAAAAGCCTCCTTGGGAAAGAACTTTAAGTATGGTCCCACAGGAAAAAAAAAAAACTTACACCTTGGTTGAACATTCAGATTTGGCCCTAGTCCCAATTAAATGAAAGATAAATTATTTCAATGTTATACATAATGCAATAAATACAAGTGACATGCTTGTTTCATAAAGAATAAGAAGACTATTTCCACATATATACAAATATAAATTACAGTGCCATGCACTTTAATCTTATATATCTTTTCTTTACCAATATTATTCATTTATTCTTTGAATGGTTATTGCAGAAATGAAGTATTACATTTTTGTTACTATTGAAACCGAGGCAAAGAGAAATTGAGCTCCCATTAAAACTTACACCAGGAGCCTCACTTTGTTCTTTCTCTATTTTATACTATAGTGTTACCAACTGAATATTTGTGTCCCCCCCAAAATTCACATTAAAACCTGAATTTTCAATGTGATACTTTTTGAAGATAGGGCCTATGGAAAATAATTAAGTTTAGATGAGGGGCCCTCACCAAGAACCAAATTTGAGAGAACCTGGATCTTGGGATTCCCAGGGTCCAGAGCTGTGAGAAATATTTCTTGTTTAAGCCACCTAGTATTTTGTAATAGCAGCCTGAGCAGACTAAGACACAAAAAGACTTCTGAGAAGTGGTTTCCAAGCATACTTTCTACAACAGTCTTTGTGCAATGAGTGACATTAGATGGAAAGCTAGTTGGAGATAGCCTGATCACCACCCTCTAAACTCCTCCCACTCACCACCCATACCTGGAGAAATGTCTTCATGAAATAACATTCACTTCAGTTTCTAGATATTATTTAACCTCAAATATGCTTAACTCCAAAAGCTGAAACAATAGCCCTTATATTTTCACATATTATACTTACTTAAATGTCCATTATCCTATTTGAAACCATACTTAAACACGTTATTCAAGCTTGAATATGTGGTTTCAAATAGGATAATGTGCATTTATGTAAGTGTTTGTGAAATAAATACATTGCTTTTGCCTTTTCTCTTGATATTTTTGCTTAGGACATATCCAAGATATTCTTTTTCTTTCTCCATTAAAGTACATTTTTCAACTGAAAAAAACAGTAAGAATTTTCCCAATTGTCTTTCTTCCTGTGACACTGTATCCATTCATTCATTTTTATTCAACAATTATATACTTAAGAGCTATTATGCAGGCTCTAAGGATAGAAAGGTTAAAAAAAAAGCCCCAGCTTTCATGGACCTTATATTCATTTTTCTTTATTGAAATTTCTAGTGTTTTACCATTGTTAGAATGCTTTCTGCCCCTCTCAAGTTTGATACAGTTTAAAACAACAACAAAACTAAAATATATACTTTCTTTTAAACTTTGTCCACTTAGGAACCTGTGACTGTCCGTTGTAAGCATTTAAAGTGACTCAGACAGCTACCCAGTAGATCTTCAGAGTCTTTTAAGGTCATCTCTCATATTCCCTTTTGCTTTTACACCCAAACCAAACTGAAATTGTACTACTAGTAATAAACATCACCCAGAAATACCCCTTTCAGTTTATAATCTTGATACACACCTGTCTGCTGTATTGCTATCCTTCCTTTCAGGACCTCCACTGCATGCTACCTTTTCAGGATGGTGAAAATATGAAAACTATTTTTCCTTGTACTGGGTATCGCTCAAAATCCTCTAGTGGCATTTTACTCTCCTTAGTTGGGCTCAGTCTTTAGTCAGTATCTTTCCAGATGCCTCACTTTGTGCATCTATTTCTGCCTTTTTTCATGTGCACTAAAGAGGCATTTGTAGAACTAATACAGAGATCAAGTGTAATCGTGGTGAGTCTTTAAGAAACATTTACATTTAGTGAAAAGCAACTATAAAAATAACAAAAAGTCATAAGATAATCCATGTTTAAAAGAAACTACCTTTCCTTCATTGTTCAATCTGAGAGGTTGTTCTCTAACCACATTTCCACTTTTTAAATGTTTCTGTCCTTGTTATTGTCTTATTTATCAATACAAATTAATTAAAGGACAGAAATAAGAAATGAGAAATTACATTATAAGTGAGTTGACTAATTACATGAAATGGGCTTGTGCTTCCTTCATTCTTCTGGTTATCTAATTACCTAATGATACTACACTCTAGCTAGATCTAAATATTATGTGAGCTCAGTACTTTAGTAATTAAAAAATCCCAAAGTAATCTTAATGTTTTTAATCACTCTATCCATATTTCACATATTCCCCATTCCTTTTAATAAACTTCAAAAATATTTCTGTAAGTAGGTTAAATCAATATATTGGTATCATGAATCTTCATTCAATATACAAAATGTGACTTTCTTATTTTTTTTAAAAATTAAAATGACATATTTCATATTATATGGATGTTTCTAGACTTATGATGGGGTTATGTCCCAATAAACCCATTAAAGTTGAAAATATTGTAAATTGAAATTCATATAATACACAACCTACTGAACATTATCGCTTAGCCTAGCCTACCATAAATGTGCCAGAACACTTAATTTAGCTTATAGTCGGCAAAATCAGCTAATACAAAACCTATTTTATAATAAAGTGTTTAATATCTCATGTATTACATATAGCTATCACAGGATAATATCAATATTCAAAATTTGAAGTACATTCAAATTTCAATGGTTTCGAACTATCATTTTAAAAACATATAGGGTGAACCACCAAAAGTTGAGGATCATTTGTAATCTAATTTAATTAAACATTGGTATGCAGTCACGTTTTTGTTTTTAGAGAGACCAAATAATGTCTTCTCATCATATAATTTTCCCTTAGTTGTAAGACTGTAAAAAAATGCATAAGGGGATCTTGCCATTAACTTAAAAAGAAA